AAATGGCATTCATGTAAATACGTGACAAATGCAGCTGATGGCTAGGTACGGGGCTCACGCCTGTAATCCCAGAACTTTTGGGAGGCTGAGGCAGACGGATCACTTGAGATCAGGTGTTCAAGACCACCCTGGCCAACATGATGAAACCCTGTCTCTATTAAAAATGCAAAATTTAGCTTTGCATGGTAGCGGGCACCTGTAATCCCAGCTACTCGGGAGGCTGAGGCAGGAGAATCTCTTGAACCCAAGAGGCGGAGGCTACAGTGAGGCAAGATCACACCACTGCACTCCAGCCTGGGTGACAGAGTGAGACTCCATCTCAACAATAACAAAAGAAAAAACACACAAAAACCAATGCAGCTGAAAAATGTTCCTTTCCAGTCACTAAACTGGGCAGACTGATCTGGCTCTATCAGTATCAGCTGCTCTAAAATGAACTAAAAGATCTTACAACATAACACAATTACTGTTGAATTTGTAACAAGGTCAACAGAGGACATTCATCTGAATATAATTTTTAAAACTGCTAAAGGCGGCCATACTTACATTGTAAGCAGTATTAATTTGTGTTTCTCTGGCGCAAGTTTTTATCTTTGTGATTGTTGGTAGAGTTGGTTTTCCTTTGGAGGAAAAATTGTATTACATGAGTTAAACTTGGTCAATAACAACTTTTGAAAGTATAACACATGGAAATACAACTTTTGAAAGCATAACACATGGAAATACAGGGACTCTTTCACTTACTACAAAACACATCCCTGGTATACTGAGAAATTTCGTGGTACAACATGAGTCCATAAAAAACATTCCTTAAGTAGCCACAAGGTGAGTATACCTCATCTGAAATTCTTGGGATCAGAAATGTTTCAGATTTTTAGTTTTTTTCAGATTTTGGAATATTTGCATTATACTTACCAGTTCCGCATCACTAATCTGAAAATCCAAAATCCAAAATGCTCCAATGAGCATTTCCTCTGAGCATCATGTCAGCACACAAAAACCTTTGGATTTTGGAGCATTTCAGATTACGGATTTTGGTAGCAGGCATACTCAACCTGTATATACCTCATTTTATCCTCCTTTTTACTCCCAAGCCAGAAAAAACAAAAAAAGTTTGAAAAACTTTTCTCCACTGAACACAACACAACTGTCCCTTCTTAACTGATAAAAGATAATCATAACGTGGCAGTGCTGGGCCCTCTGGTACTTAACAAATTTGGGTGCTGTCTGCCTGCCTCTCACTCTTTAGTCCAACTCTAGTGGATTCTGCCAATCTGGATTGCTTCCATGTCTGCAGTACTCTCTTGGATACCAGCAATTGTTAATGGAGCTAGACAGTTTATCCAGGTTACAGTCCAGCTTCAAATTAATATTGAGAAAACTGGAAGCCTTGGATATACTGGTCATTTCCGCCACATTTTAAGCACATAGAATATGCAAAATTTGCATAAATTTGAATAAAACAAATTTTGCATGGTATTCCACTTTGTATGGCCACTGGAGAAAAGACCTATCCCGGGAATCAAATGGTCTTTAGTCAGATCTGTGTCAGGCTAAGAAATCTACACCGCAACCTTCATTTCCACTCACTGTCTTCCCCTCCAATCTTAGCTGCTCTATTTGATTAAACTGCAAATAGAACATGATTCAATTGAATCAGTGTCCAATACAGTACTTACATTGGTCCAGCTGGTTCATCGTCTGTATGGCGTTCAGGTTTTTGATAATCCATGAGAGAGAAGAGAAGAAAGGAGAAAACTGTTAGATTCTGCATAAGGATTAACAGAACAGCAAACTGCAAGTGGCAATCATGGCTACTCACAGCATTTATTAAAGGCCATTCCATCTGGAGGTGCAAAACACTCATGGAGTTATTATTTCTAGATTCAAGTTTAAATGGCAGGTATGTTGTTTCAATGGTTTTAGTTAACACTTTGAATGCTTGTCATGAAAAACTGCAACTGTAGCGGACAGATAGGCTGCAACATTGTTATACTCATCTTGTCCCCAAGTTCCAGTGGTTCACTCTTAAATAGATGAGAAGACAAACCAACATTTCAGTTGTAAAATCCTGCTGTTTGTTTTCTTGTGAATGCATGCAGTTTTGGCTCAATCCTGCAATGTGAATGGATGTGTACATTCTGTACATTTAGCCACACATCCTCACTTCCCCAAAGGGCACTCTGTTTTTCTTGCTGGTTTTTTGTTTTGTTCTGCTTTGTAATCATTAGGAGAGTCTTTAGTCTGGAGAATGAGATTGAGGAAGAGGCAACCACAATAGTTCAACCTAAATTGGGTCAGCCATGCTGGGCTATGCCAGCAACAAGTGTATGTATACCAGAGGATGTTCTGTGACACACCAAGGAAAGCTGAACAGTGGTGACATCCCTCTAGAAAAGACTTCAGAAAGACAGGCTCACTCTTGTGCCCTGGCCAAACTCAGAAGCCAAACCCAGGGGAGCCATGAGATAACTTTTTTAAAATAAAAAAGCTGACATTATATGAGTTTAAGCCTTCTTAAATTGAGACTTTATGATTCTGATTTATAAGTCTTTCGTGTTTCAACTAAGTGCAACTTGATCCTCTTTAAGCAAAGATATACATTCACAGAAAGAATGTTTTAGAGAGACCCACAAAGGGGAGGAACAAGTAAGTGCTCTTAGTTTGTTTTTATTATACAAAAGTCAGGTAGACTAAATGATTCAGAACAGTTTGATTTCACTGAAGGCTTCTAGAAAAACTCTCAGCAGGATTCCACAAGGGGGCTTGGTGCACATGAAGCAGTTATGGAGATTACAGTCTCAGTGTAGGCATCTGCAGGAGCACACGTCGGGAGTAATGTCTGTCAGAGGGAGACATTGCTCCACCTGTTCCTTCGAGGCAACGGAGAGGCAAAGCCACCGCCAGCACACACAGTGACTGGAGCAAAAAAGGATTTCAAAAAAAAGAACTAACCACAAACCAATGACTCATCAGCCAAAACAATAGGCTAGCGACACACTAGTGTCCACAGGAGTCCACTACTAACAACAGTATACACTATCAAACAGGAACAGAGAACAAACTAAGACTTAAGGACACCCAAGACATCTGTGTGCTGTGTATGCAGTGGAGAGATACAAAGACATACCAGGTACTAAGACACACAAGCCCAGCCTAAATTCTCCCTTCACAACATCCTAATGCTCAGCATCCCGGCCAAGCCAGCTCAGCTACATGCTAGGAACTAAGCACTCAGGGGATTTAAATGAAAGGACATAGGAGCAAACTTGGAATGTTTTTAGTGCTCTGGCTGTGCACTTGAAAACAGAAAATTCTAATGCAAGATAGCCGAATCAAGAATACACCAATCTACTCCCAAATTTAAAATAAAAAGCAGGGGAGGGAGAATCGCAATAGCCAGGCTAATCTTTTCAAAGCATGACATTGTAGGCACCAACCCAAGCACCTCACACCACGGGCTTTTTTCCTTTTGGAGTGGGGGTTTCCCTGGTGTCTGATTAGTAATGTCACTTTCCAGCCCAACAAGCTGGTAACATGCAAAGGGCTGCATGGAGGTGTTTCAGCGACAGTGCCTCTGGCGTAGCTGCCATGCCTGCAAGTGGGAGCAGCTGATTCACAAGGGGGCAAAATCCCAGGAGCCCCCTTCATCTGTCTCCCCAAATCCACTTTCACACTGACAAACAAAAGCACCTCATGTCTCCCCACTCTGCTGGACTGAATCACTATCTGCAGCACCACTCTCCCCTACAGGTCAGACAAAAAAAACGACTTGACCCCTAACAGGGAAGTCAAGGGAGAGGGAAAGAACAGAATTACAGAAAAAAGATACAAAAATCAAAGTAAATGAGGAGTAAACAGCAAACTGAAATCCAAATTAGTTGTGAAAGTGAATGAAGTAAACTTGAAGAAAAGTGTTAACATTATGAACTGTGCATCGTATAGACTGAAGCGGAGATTAAACAAACTCCAAAAGCATGCATATCGCTCACTTACCACCATGTTTTAAGGGTTTGATGCAATTGAGGGGGGAAAAAAAAGAAGTCATAGTAACCGACAAATATCAACATACCCCAAACCCTCAGGCCAAAAGAGAGCCAGCTTAAACAATGACTGTTCTCTCCACCTCAATGTTACAGCCACTGGCTAGATGAGAGGAGGAGGACTGGGGGAGAACGGAAACAAGATGCTCTGGAATCCACCTTCTGAGAGTCGAGCTCCTGGTGGAGCTGTAGCACACACGGATTTATCTGCGTGTTCCGTCTTCCCAACCGAACGGGGACTCCAGCCCTCGCTCCCCTACATCTGCCTCATCATCTAGAAGGGGTGCTCTGCAATGTCTAGTAAATAAGGGATTGCCTAATACAGTATCACCTCCAAAAAGATGGCTTTAAAGGCCGAATAATGAGAGTGGACTCTCTGGTCAAAGGTCCTTTGTCACTGCATTCATCTCACTAGACGGTTTCATGGTTTCTAAATCCACCTAATTTTGCCTGACCTTAGCAGGTTAGCATGAAGCCTAAGATACTAACAGTTACTTCCTGTTTCCTTCCTTGTTTGGTCCTATTGCATTTTCTCCATAAGGTAACTTGTTACTGACCCAGATGGCCCCTAGTTAACAGACTAGACACTAAATGTGTGTTTTGGGTATCATTTTAAAAGTCACATTTCTTTTCCAATATCCCTCGCCTGTACAAATTTTCATATGCTACCAAATGTTTTGACTAACAAATAGATTTTGGGACATTAGAAACAGCTCTTCTTTTTTTTAATTTGAGATGGAGTCTCCCTCTGTTGCCCAGGCTGGAGTGCAATGGCACGATCGAAGCTCACTGCAACCTCGGCCTCCTGGGTTCAAGCAATTCTCCTGCCTCAGCCTCCTGAGTAGCTGGGATTATAGGTGTATACTAATGCCCGACTAATTTTTGTATTTTTAGTAGAGATGGGGGTTTCACCATGTTGGCCAGGCTGGTCTCGAACTCCTGACCTCAGGTGATCCACCCGCCTCGGCCTCCCAAAGTGCTGGAATTACAGGCGTGAGCCACTGCACCTGGCTAGAACAGCTCTTCATTCTTAAGTATCTAAAAGAGCTTGGATATATCAGAACCACTAAAAATGGCCCCCAAAAAAGTTCAGTGAGTCTGAAATGAACCATAGGTGTATCCTGATAATAAAGTGCCTATTTGGCAGAGAGAAAGTATGCCAGGCCTATTAAAAAAATTCCCATTTTCCTAATGGCATAAAAAATCCAATACAGAGCCACAGATGGTTATCTGATAGGTAAACACTTCTCACCTCTAACACTCCCAAGTTTGTGTCAGATATAATGTACCTTCTTGTTTATTCCAAAAAGGGGTGTTTGTATATATCACATGAAAATATGAGGAGGAGCACATGGGAAGAAAGCAGACAGGTGAGTTTGTCCTTCCTAAGAACTGCACAGGAGTTGAGCGGAACTGGCTAAAGAAGGAAAAGGCAGAGAAGAAGGAAAACTCACCAAAGAACTATCAACTTTTTCTTTTGTTTAATGGTTACTTCCAGGAAAGGAGAAGAAAGGCAGGGAGGGGTGGAAGCAGGGAGGAGTTTGAGAGAAAAAGACAGAGGAGAAAGAAAGAATGGAAATGTTGGGGCAAGGGAAGGGTGTGAGGATGGAGAGTGGAGCCTGGCCCACCCTGGCTGTCAGGAAGGGAAGGAGAGAAGGCAAACATTGCGATCACTCCAGCATCTCAGATTTTTCACCCCAATTCAACAACAACCAAGTCAACGCTGCTTTCATTACAATATTCTCCCAAGAGACAGGAGCAAGGGGGTTTTACCTTGCACTTACCCTGCCATCATCTCTTTGACAGGTAGGATTCATTCACTGTCTATAATAACTTAGTTTAAAAGAGGTATTTTCCCTCTAGGAAGCTGTTCAGATTTGCTGGCCACAGATGTCTCCTATAACAAACTAGTCCCCCATTTGAATTCAGTAACCAAGGAACTCTTTTTAAAAAAAGAGAGCTGCTTCCCTGGGCAGGTGTCTGCACTTGTCCAACAGAACAATACTAACCATTTCTCAAATCTAACCTGCCACATGCACTGCGACAGCAACTTCATAAGCACAGTGGTTTCTTAGGGCAAAGACTGGACCTTTTCCGAGAACACACTAGGCCACTGCGTCACTCTCACCAGTGGCAGCCAGCCTTGCCTTAACATTTAAAAATCAGGTTCTGATGCCCATCTTTGCCTCCTCTTACCTGACTTTTTAGCTTCTCAACCTTTCCAAAGGGCAGGCTGAGGAAGGTAGTTTTGGCAAAGCAAAAGCATTCTGGGCGGATAAAAAGGCCCTGTTTTCAGGAAGAAGGCATAACTGATCCTACAGAGCCAAAACTGGAAACACACGAAAGGCAACTCTTTCCCTTTACTCCCAGCTCTAAGTAAAGGTGTACTCTTGCCTTGGGAGTCCTAATATGTGGCAGGAGAGGGAAATGTCTGGAGAAAAACAGCATTAGGAATACATGAAATCCCCCCAAAAAAAGCAGGTTCACTTCACAGAGTAGGAAAGTAAGACTCCTAGGGCACTCCCAGGGTGCAGGAAACTAGAGACTCAATTATAGAGGCCGTCTGCTCCCAGCCAACGTCCCACCCACAACTCTGCCCAGCTCACTGCTAAGTGTACAGAGTCACCAGACATCGTGTCATCAACAAACCTCCTCACCAGCCATTCACTACTTACTGCAGGCAGAGAGATTCAGAACTGCTCAGAAGAAAGGAAAAGATGGGGAAGGGGCTATAGCTCTCAAACATGTCCTCCCAGAGAGTCTAAAGCCACTGGCATGCCTCTGGGTCCACACACTTTCTGAGGGAGCACCAGACGTCACTTTGTATTCTCCACTGGACAGCCAGCTCTGTGGGACAGGATACAGCACCACAGGTGCACAAACACAGGCCCTAGAATAGCTAGACTACAGCTGGCAACCCCAACGTCACCCCGGGGTGGCTGCTACCGAGCCAGGGGCACACCCATCTGTCTAGGCTAGCCAGGGACAGACTGGTGGTGTTAACGGTTGGCCAATGACTTTCTTTATGCTGGTCATGTTATAGGATGGGGATAGGGAGCCAGCTGGGAGCCTGAAGTACTGCGGATACAAGTCTCCTTCAGCAGCTTCCCCTTCACAGGGTGAAAGACAAAAATCTAACACCAAAAATTTCCCGAGGCTTTTCTGACTCAAGGTGCATCCGATAATCTAAGATTTCAGCTCCTGCTCTTTCCAGTGCTTCATGGTTTGCTGTGGTTCTGCTGCTACCATCTCCTCCCTTCTCTGACCCTAGGCCGGCTTGACGGCACAGCCTTGGGGCATGGACTCCATTTGCTCCACCTTTGGTACCTCCGTCTTACGCCACGTGGGTGGATACATCAGACTCTCTCCATCACTCTTTGTCTGTGAGACATAGACGGAAAAGCCACCCAGTAGAAAGCCTTGAAAACCTATCAAAGGGACCAACCAAGGGAACCAAAAGCTGGCTTGTTCCAATGGCTTTTCTGAGAACAGTCTAACTGGGCTGGGCAGTTACCTACAGGGGCTACACCAGGCAACCATGTGACAACCAGTTAGGTACCTTAAATCTGCCTGAAAGGCCAGGTGGCCTGCGATCTTGGGGTGGCTTCTAGGCTTGACTTGGATTCTCCTCAAGCTCAATCTGCCTGATGATCTGTATTGAAGGAGGACAGAGCTGAACAAAGAGACTGACAGCTGCCCATTCACCGCATGGGGCCTGAAAGGCAGATGGGACTAGGGTTTGGAAAACACCCAAACAGAGGGAGAGAGCTAAGGACGGCTCTAAATGGCTAACGCAAAAAAGAAAAAAAAATCTTATGGGCAGGGGGTTAGGAACTGGTATAAGAATTTTCCTTCTTTCCTTTAGGGATTGAATCCCAACATCCCTACAGTCCTCTTTGGGTACTCGGAAACCCCCGAAGGAACCAACCCCAACAGTAAGCTATTCTGTAGGGATGCCCTTACCGTCAGGAACCTCATCTGGCCTCTTCCTCTTCTCATACACAACAATGATCACCACAAGGATGATAATTTCAGCCAGAATTCCCAAAAAAGGCCAGAGTGGGGCCAGGTGGCTCCGCACCCTGAGGACAGTGACAACAGAGGCAGAGCCAATGGCGTTGGTGGCGTTACATTCATATTCGCCAGGGTCTTCTGTGATCTGCAGGTTCACAATGTTCAACTCAGTGTAATTTTCCTTGTTGATGATGAAGAAGCGGCCGGAGGTATTGACAATGTCCTGCAAAAAAGCGAGAATACACGAGGGTGACTGTGAGTAACTGAGCTGATGTTCAAGGGAGGGTGACACTGTTCTCTGTACTTTTCAGGCACCAGCCAGAATGACGGAGCAGTGCCTAGGTGCATTTCATTAATGATTTCCCTTCAGTATCAACAACAACAAATCAACACACTACTGACAGAGCCAGGCAAGCCTCTCCGACCATCGGTCCTCCAGACTTCCCCAGCTTCCACAAAGTGAGTGCAGGTCCTACTGCCTGGAGACTCAGAAAAGTCCAACAACCTAGTAAGCGCTGCCTCAAACACCAAGAAGAAACCACAGCTGAAAGAGGACAGGGGGAGGAGGAGTGGGACCCCCCCCAGTCAGGCATGCCTGGGGACTTCAGCTTGGTGATTTCTAAGGAAGTCTCCCTATCCTCCACAAACAATGCTAGGAACTCACTCCTAGTCAGACTGAGGGAAATTCACAACTTTCCTTTCATTTAAGGACTACAGGATTAGAGGAAAGGTTATTCAAACAATCAATCAACAAATATTTATGGCTGGGCATGGAGTCTCATGCCTGTAAGTCCAGCACTTTGGGAAGCTAAGGTGAGAAGATCGCTTGAGCCTAGGAGTTCAAGACCAGCCGCAGCAACAAACTGAGACCCCATCTCTACAAAAAATCAAAAACAAAATTAGCTGAGCATAGCGGTGTATACCTGCGGTCCCCGCTACCCGAGAGGCTGGGGCAGGAGGATCACCTGAGCCCGGGGGTTGCTGCACTCCAGCCTGGTAGACAGAGCAAGACGCTGTCTTAACACAGAACAAAACAAATATTTACTAAAATATGCTGCATGCTTTATGTCCTACTAAGGGTAGGTAGGAGGGAGAAAGTGAGATAAAAAGAGACACAGAAACGAATAAGGAGCTTGGCCTCAAAAGGAAACCAGACATCCAAAACGGGATGGCTGATTACAGGAATGTGTTACAAAGCCCCAGCAGAAGGTGTGTATGGAGTGCTATAGGGCATGGTGAGTGGCCACTGCTGGAAAGAGTGAGGTAAGCTTCACAGCTGAACTAACATTTGCCCTAGACTGTGGAGGAGGACGGCTAATCACACAGGGAGGAGCAGTGCAGCCAGGGATTGGCATGGGTGCGAAGGCAGAGGTGTGAGAGGGCAGGCAGGGCTGAAGACTCAGCGGGATGGTTCACTGCACTCCGCTTAGGAGATCCCGGCAGGGAAAAAAACAGACTCGTGTGTCTTTACCCTGCAATAACTAAAGCACAATCAGAAACAGGAGAGAAAAAGGGGAATGTTATCCTGAAAACGATTCTAGATACAGCATACAATCTTGTCAGCATTTGAATGCAGGTACGTCTGATATGGGGAATTCATAGCTTTTAGAACAGCTAGTCCGTGATGCCTCAAGCTTCATCGTTAAGGAGATTAAAACATATGCCGAGTTAATTCCAACACTTGCTTTGGCAAAAGCTCAAGGGCACTCCTTCCCAGCGGACCGGCAGAGAGGAGTGGACATTTCCTCACCAGTATCTTAGAAAGTTCAGCGTCTGTGGAAAGGGCTCAACTTGGCATCTCCACCTCTCCAGTCCTCAAGCTGCTCTCCCTTATTGATAGGTGTCTGAAATCTAGCCATCATCGCTGATGCTGGAGTCACTATCACTACTCAATATTTTATTATCGAAATGTTATGAAGTGGGAAGGATAATGGACTTAAAATTTAAAAAAACTAGATACAACTCTTGGTTTTGCCACTAATTATTATTGGCTACTATGGAACCCTTCCAAAGAAGCTGGATTAATGATCTTTAGAGTCCTTTTGGATTCTGAAGACTGATAATCAAAGAATGCCTGGGATAGGAGGAATGTTGACACCCTCTCTGACAGAAAAGGTAAATGGGTCAACCATCATAATGAGGGAGAAAGTGAGGGTCCAAAGCTCTGACTCTCCAAACACCATCATGAATCATTCCACACATGGGAAAGGATGTTCTCTTTGACCTTTTCTGGGGCAAATACCATCAGGTTCCCAACGTCTAAGGCTCTCAGGCTGCCCCTGAGCCTCCTCAGGTTGCCCCGATTCCTTATCAATACGTTCTGTGTTGTAGGAATGTACTAATAATTTCCCTCAGTGCCTTGTTTCCCAAAACACAAGACAGGTTCTAAGACCACTTCAAGAACAGTATTTTCTTCAGGATAAATGGACGAGAATTAGGCTCAGTTCTTTCCATGTCTTAAACTGAAGGCAAGTGATATGGTTTGGATTTGTGTCTCCACCCAAATTTCATATTGAATTATAATCCCTAGTGTTGGAGGAGGGGCCTGGAGGGAGGTGATTGGATCACGGGGGCGGATGTCCCCCTTGCTGTTCTCCAGACAGTGAGTTCTCACAAGACCCAGTTGTTAAGTGTGTATCACCTCCCTCCTTCACGCTTGTCCTCCTCTCCGGCCACCTAGGCCATGCCTGCCTCCCCTTCGCCTTCCACCATGACTCTAAGTTTCTCTACCTACAGGGATCACTTAGGTAGAAATAAACAGCAACTGCAGTCTAAAACATAGGTAAGTCTCAAGGATGAAAGAAGCCTGAGGGGGAGGCTGATTCTTTGGATTTAACTTTCTTTTAACTATATTACCTGTCAATGCCTCACCTTCAGTTACAGTAATCTGAAAGCAATAAAACTCAAAGCAGGTCAGATGTCACTCTGTTGTCTAAGATAGGAAAGATAATCTTCCCTGTGTTTCCTGAGGCCTCCCCAGCAATGCTTCCAATAAAGCCTGTGGAATCGTGAGCCAATTAAACCTTTGTTCTTTATAAATTACCCAGTCTTTGGAAGTTCTCTATAGCAATGTGAGAATGGACTAACACAGCAAGCAATCTAATCTCTTACCAGATGGACAGCTTTAACAAATCATGTACAGGGATTTCTGTGCTAAAAGAGACTGTCAACGACCTCCTGATTCATGCTGTAAACCGTTCACAACTCTAGAAAGGGTGACCCTCGCCACACACACATCCAGGGATACAGCTGCTGCAGTAACTCACCCACATGTCTGGACCTCTGCTGGGAAAACTCCAGCAACCAGAGACCCGGGCCTGCCTCCTACTCACCATGGGCATCCCGTTCTCCTTCTTGCGCCATATCCAGTCTGGATGGGGGTAGCCAACTGACTTGCAATACATCGTGGCATCCTGCCCTTCATTCTTGTTCTCGCTCCGTTTATGGCCAGTGATGTCAGGAGCAGCTGTGAGAAAGCGTTAGACGCAGTTACCACGGAAGCCGACTCCAAACAGGATACAAAGGCCCCACCTTCTGGCTCAGATCCTTGCTTCCAGTGTCATCAGTCTTTATGCCTACTGTCATACTCAGCTTTGATGAAGAGCATTTCAGGTCAGAATAGGGTAAAGGGACCAACCCCATCCTCTACCCCCACCCACTAAAGCTGCCCAGGCAGATATCAGGGTTACTGATATGTGAGGCTCTACTAATAGAGGTGATTCTCCAACCTACTGGAAAAGAATACAGGCCCCAACTGCCCTCAATTAAGCCCTTCTTTAAAAAAAATGCAAACAAATGCTATTATCATCTCTTCTACCAGCCCAAGTTTTTTCTTTAAGCACCTTCACAAACAAGCTGGGTGTGGTGGCTCATGCCTGTAATCCCAGCACTTAGGGAGGCCAAGGCGAGTGGATCACCTGAGGTCAGGAGTTCAAAACCAGCCCGGTCAATATGATGAAACCCTGTCTCTACTAAAAATACAAAAATTAGCCGGGCATGGTGGCAGGTACCTATAATCCCAGCTATTTGGGAGGCGGAGGCAGGAGAATCACCTGAACCCGGGACGTGGAGGTTGCAATGACCCCAGATCGGGCTATTGCACTCCAGCCTGGGCAACAAGAGTGAAACTCTGTCTCAAACAAACAAACAAAGACACCTGCTGGAACAATTATGCATCCTGTCATATGTCACAGATTCCCTTATGGAAATGAGATTCTGAGATCAAACAACCACAATCAAGTCCTATTACAAGGTATGTAAAAACAATGAGTGCCTGGAAAAGCTACTCAATGAATAGCAATGACCAAGGTTCTCCCAGGAAAGAGTGAATCCAGAAACTGGTCTTCACAAGGAGGAAGAAAGGAGTTAACAGGAAATTCAACCTGTGTCCCAAGGGTTTTGTTTTTTATTTTTTAACTAACTGATTGAGATGGAGTCTTATTCTATCACCCAGGCTGGAGCGTAGTGGCATGCTCACTGCTCACTGTAGTCTCAAGCTCCCGGGCTTAAGTGATCCTCCCACCTCAGCCTCCCAATGTCACCACAGCTGGTTAATTTTTAAATTTCTTGTAGAGACAGGGCCTTACTATATTGCCCAGGCTGGTCCTGAACTCCTGACCTCAAGTGATCATCTCACCTTGGCCTCCCAAAGTGCTGGGTTTACAGGTGTTTGTATCTGCACCTGGCCCCAAGAGCTTTCATTAACAGCTTAAGAATCTGCCCTGGACACCTGATTTGCAACAATTTCCTAGACTGAACTCAATATAGAAGGAATTTCAAGACATGCTAGAGGCCACTGGTCTTCTCTATTTATAGGGATCACTTAGGAAGAAATAAATAGCAACTATAGTCTAAAAATTAAGTAAGTTTCAAGGATTGAAGAAGCCTGAGACGGAAACGATTCTTTGGATTTAATTTCTTTTATCTTAACTATATTACCCACCAATGCTTCATCAGTTACATTAATCTTTTTTTTTTTTTTTTTGACAGAGTTTCTCTCTTGTCACCGAGGCTGGAGTGCAGTGGTGCAATTTCACCTCACTACAACCTCTGCCTCCCGGTTTCAAGCGATTCTCCCACCTCAGCTTCCTGAGTAGCTGGGATCACAGGCATGCGCCATACACTCAGCTAATTTTGTATTTTTAGTAGAGATGGGGTTTCACCATGTTGGTCAGGCTGGTCTCGAACTCCTGACCTCAGGTGACCCACCTGCCTGGGCCTCCTCCCAAAGTGCTAGGATTACAGGTATGAGCTACCGTGCCCAGTCAGGTTACAGTAATCTGAAAGCAATAAAACTCAAAGCAGGCTGATGTCACGCTGTTATCCAAGATAGGAAAGGGAATCGATATGCCTTGGTCCAAATTCCAGTTTTGTTGGTTCTTTCATTATTCTGGGCTTTGCCGCTATAGTCATTATCAAATGGAGACACCTGTGTCCTTGCCTACCTCCCAGTGTTCGTGGACTGATAAACAGGATGTCGCAGCATTCATCTTGAGACTGTAGAAGCCTATACAACTGCACTGGGGCTAATCTCATGTTCCACCTTTGACTGGCTTGGTTTTTCTTGGCTTAAAAACAATGCAAAGTTCTACTGCTCACAGAATGTGCTTCCCAAGCACAAACTGGTTTTACACTCACCCTCCAGAGGCACCTGGATGGGCATGGACTGGGCAAGGCCCCCAAGCTGTCTCTGTAACCAGTCTCTGCCAAACGGAGGCATGCTCAGTGCCTCTCAGTGTGAAGTGTTTCCTAGACAGGATGTTATAAAGGAAGTATCCTTTTGTTTTTCCCAGGCAAGATTTCTAACTATAGAAGGAAGTGGTCAACCTGGCTCTATCTCATTCCCACAGAGCCAGACTTTTCCCACAGCTACTCAGTACTCCTCAGGCTGACTGTTCAACCTGGTCACCCTTTCTCAGATTTTCCTTCGGTCAATAAATACCAAGCACTCCAAGGAGCAGGCTCCACAGTCACACAGGACCCAGCACGTCCACACGGTGACATAAGCAGAAGGGCTACCATGTGCTGCTCCATCCCTGCTTCATTCATCTGGCAAACACCTGCTGCTGAACACCCACTACATGCCAGATATGTCAGACTGGTCGGGTAAGGCTTTTGTGATGAGGTGAACTTTAGCATGATTGTGAAGGAAATAAGGGAGTATGTACAAGGTTCGGGACCTGTGATAAGTAAAGAATGTTCACTTTCTAACAGGCCCAGGAATCCCGAGTTATCTGGGGACCCCAAGAGGAGAGGAATTTGCCCAACTCATAAATATTTGAGGGTACAAACCCATGGCTAGGCTTTTAAAAAGTCTTATCTGAGATTCTTCATGGAACAGAGTTCTACCAAAGCCAATTAAAAAAGCCAAAGTGAAAAATAATTGTTCTTGCTGTACTTTACGCAAATACTCAGGCCAAGTACAGTAAGACTAAAGTTTATTTTGTAAACACACCAGTTCTATCATGATTTGTTTTTAATAAAAGTGGGGACTGGAGAGAGAAAAACTATGCTTCAAAAGAAAAACTATAGGCCAGGTGCGGGGGCTCAACCTGTAACCCCAGCACTTTGGGGGGGCCGAGGCGGACAGATCATGAGGTCAAGAGATTGAGACCAGCCTGGCCAACATGGTGAAACCCCATCTCAACTAAAAAATACAAAAATTAGCTGGGCGTGGTAGCACGCACCTGTAGTCTCAGCTACTTGGGAGGCTGAGGCAGGAGAACTGCTTGAACCCAGGAGGCGGAGGTTGCAGTGAGCTGAGCTCACGCCACTGCACTCCAGCCTGGCGCCTGGCGAAAGAACAAGACTCTGTCTCAAAAAAAAAAAAAAAAAAAAAAAAAAAAAAAAAAAAAAGAAAGAAAAGAAAAACTACAGTACACTGTTGTTAGTTGTTTTGGGGGTTTTTGTTTCTGCAATTTAGACAAATTCTAAATTCTTTGTGGGTTAGAAGTCCCCTAACTAATGCTTTCAAACCATTACTTTTAAAATTGGGAACTACACTGCTCATCCTAGGACTCGTTATTTACCCTATAGTAGGCTGTTCACTTTAACACTGCAGTAAAACTATAGATGAGAACACTAATGCTTTTGCCGCACAAGCCTCGGAAGCCCAGCCAGGCCTGCGTGAGTACACTCAGACAGTTGCAAAGGGCTCCACTCTTCTCACCTTGGGGTTCACTCCCGTTCCCACTATGGCCCGTCAGCAGGAAGAAGCCAAGGAGATCAAAGGCCTTTTCCCATCTTCACAGCCTACACCTTAAGATTAAGGTGTTATAAAACCCAAAGGGAGGGAATGAAACTGCCTTTGCAAAATTATGACTGAGACAGTGAAAGAGATCTAACTTAACTGACTCCATCTTGCTTCTAACCTCCAAGCCATCCTTGTTCGTTCCTGGGCCTAAGCTGAACCAACTTTGGGAGAAACTTAGTTTAAACAAAGACAGTAACAGTCCTTTCCCAAAGCAGACCCCCTTCTTGCCTAGGGACTAGACTGCCTTTGTAGGACTCACATTAGCCACAAGATTAGCAATTATGGTTTAGGAGTCATGCAGCTGGGGACTACAAGATTCTGGCCCTCCCTAAACTGCTCCTAAGATCAGGGCTTGAGATATTTTGTAGACCCTGCACTTGATGGATCAACTGGCCCCACCCAGATCAATAAACTGGTGCATGTGATCTTGTGGCCCCCACCCAGAAACTGACTCAGCACAAGGAGACAGCTCCAACTCCCTACGATTTCATCTCTGACCAATCAGCACTCCTGGCTCACTGGCTCCCCCTGACCCACCAAGTATCCTTAGAAACTCTGCTCCCTGAATACTCAGGAAGACTGATTTGAGTAGTAATAAAACTCACACCAAAAAAGAAAAGAAGGGAGTAGGTCACACATATCTGTAGGAAGAACACTCTAGGGCGAGGGAAATGCAAAGGCCTTGAGGTAGGAGTGTGCTTGTTATGTACAAGGAATAGCAAAGAGGATTTCATTGGAACATAGTAAGCAATGAGAGGAGAGCAGGAGATAGAAGAAATCAGAGAGACTGGGGACCCAAATTAGACAGGACTTTGTAGGCCACCATAATGACTTGGGCAGTTACACTGAGTCAGCCAGAAGCCACTGGTGAATACTACATGCAGGTGTAAAATAATGGGTGTGTTTTAACAGGCTCCCTGTGGCTACTATGTGAACAAGAACTGCAGAGAACAGTGGAAGCAAGACCACGGCTATTAGAGTAATCCAGGCAAGGGAGAGGTAGCAGCAGTGGCCCTTGGGGCAGTAGCAGTGGAAATAACCAGAAATGGTGAGATTCCAGGTATATGTTGGAGGTTGAGTTAATATATTTGCTAATTGATTGAATGAAGACTGTGAGAAGAAATGGCGTCAAGGATAACACCAAGGTTTTGGCCTGAGTAACTGTGAGAATGGAGTTGACAGTTACTAAGGATAAGGAAGATTGCAATAATGAG